CTAGGTGATGTGAAGTTACGATTTTCATTGTGTTCTTGTTTTTCATTTCCCAGTATCTAATGGTGTTGAATAGCTTTTCATGTCTTTATTAGCCATTTGTCTATCTTCTTTGGAGAACTGTCCGTTTAAGGAAATTTTTTGTGTTCACTTTAAGGATAATGAATTGTTGAAAGTTAGTAGTTGCCCAGTGCCTGCCGAGGATGAGCAGACAGACTGCAGCGCCACTCAGCATTTCAGTATGAGTGCCAGTCCTCCATGTACAGTTGAGCTTCCTGCATTCAGGTACAAGTTCCAGTATAGAAAATCTTGTACATTAACATGCATTTTTCATCTGGTAGTTGGTGAATTATTCCCAACTATTCCTATATGTTGCACTGTTTGATTTTAAGCTGTCTTTCATCCCCTTCCCCCCCCGCTTAGCACAACTCAGCAAGAAAAGGATATCATCGAGGAATCCACTGTTGAGGATGATCCCAACCAGATGACTTTACCAGTTTCTCCTTCCAGTTGTACAAAGCCACCGATGGCACAGACTGCTTCACCAAGTAACAGTAATATAAGTGCAGCTGTAGCTGTGACCCTACAGGTAACATCGAAAGCTATATTTTGGGGCCGGGAAAGAAACCGTTTTTGTTGTGAGGTGCCGTGAGGGTGGCTGCAATTCACAGTGACATAATATACAACAGAACAAAAACACTGCCTGATTCTGTGCCATCCTGAAAGTTGTTCCTATGCTTGAGCACATTGTTGCAGCTACCGTGTCAATCCATCTTGCCTCTAAAGAGCATTCTGCCTGTACTTCTTTTAAGACAGATATGTTTGGTCTTTGGTAATCCATGGGTGGTACTTTTCAATATTCTTCACCAGGACCATGGTTCAGATGCATCGATTCTTCTTTGGTTCTGTTTAATCAATTTCCAACTTTCACGTGCATGCATATGAGGTGATTGAAATTACCATGCCTTGAGTCAGGTGAACCGTAGTCCTCAGTGTAACGTTCGTGCTATTCAACTCTGAAAAGAGGCCTCGTACAACAGATTCACTGAATGCAATGTGTCGCTTCCATGAGCATTTACTGTAGACCATCTAGCATGATGTTGCCTTTGATCCAGTTGTGAGGCATATAAATGGTTTTTGTTCATTTCATATTACGGCTAACAGCATCTACTTATCCAGGTTATGGTGCTGTTAGTTAGGAATAAAGATGTTTTGAAAGCCTTTAAAGGCACAGTGAGTGGCAGTCAACTTGATTTTTTTGTTTACTGTACTTTTATTTCAGTTCTAGGATTGTATCTTAATCTGTAATTGGTAAAATATAGAAAAACAGGAGTGGGAAATAGCATTTAACTGTGACCTTTTTTTGCTATGAACATTTTATATTGTCATTTGATAATGATCATGGCAGCTGCTTATTCTTTATTGCCTACTCTGTGCTGGGAGCTTGCTAATGACCTTTTATATTCTTTGGCTTATAACACCCCTAATACTTTTAAGGTCAAGTGACCTAAGTCTTATTGTTAGTTTATATTAATAAATTACAGAATCTCTGCAGAGATTCTTGTGCATTCCCTCTCCATTTCTTCAAACCTGTCATTTGAAATTGTTTGCAATTCTTTTTTCCCCTCTTGTATCTAACCACAGTCCTTATTCCATCAAGATCAAATGTCTTAAGTCAGAGAAGGAGAGCGAGGGAAAGGATGCTTGTTTGCAGTTCTTAGGTCACTAAACATGCAAGTTATACCAATACTATCTAATAACATGGTATAAAAACGTGCTTATCACCTTTACAAGAAAGTAGCTTTAATTGCTGTCCTTGTAGTTAACGTGATCCTTTGTTATTTAGAGAATGTGTACCATGAATTTGTTTTTCTTATCACTTCAAAGGAACCTCGAAAATTAAGTTATGCTGAAGTGTGCCAGAAACCCCCTAAAGAGCTGTCTCCGGTTCTCGTACAGCCACTGCGTGAACTTCGCTCCAATGTCGTGTCTCCCACCAAAAATGAAGAGAACGGAGCTCCTGAAAAGTCTGCTGAGAACCTGCACGACAAGCCGGAAGCAGCAAGGGCTAGTAAGGATTACTCTGGCTTTCGAGGCAATACCATTTCCAGGGGAGCAGCTGGAAAAATCAGGGAACAGAGACGCCAGTTTGGCCACAGGGCTATAACTCAGGGAGTGACTCGGCGCAATGGCAAAGAGCAGTATGTGCCACCCAGATCACCAAAGTAAACAAACGACCCCTCCCAAACTTCTCTCTCCTCATTAAACTTGAGCCGTGGCTGTCTTGAACTGTTTTGGAGGGGAGGGAGTAGCCAGGAAAGAAACAAGAGAAAATAAGTCCTGAAATTATGGATTTTGGTGATATAAGCAGTAGAATTCCAAAACTCATCTCTAAAGTGATTTTAAAATGCTGGATGATTCCAATCAGTATAAATATATATATATATATATACATATATAAAATATAATTTTTCTATTTTTGTTTCTGATCTTAATTTGCAGATATTTTCTGCCAGGATTCAATTTTGAGGGTTCAGATTTAGCTGGGAGAAAAACATATTACATATCCTTCAGTATAGGAGATGAGGGAGTGAGAGAAAATATTTTTTGAAGAAGCATTTCTGTAAAATTAGAAATTACTTTTTTAAATCTATTTAAAATTTGGCTTGGAAAATGCCATCTTTTCCTATTTGGCCTTGTGTTGCAAAACAGATCATTGGCTGGATTGCCTGTTGTGGGGGAGTGTGTGCAAGTGTGATTGAGGCCAAATCTGTTGTCACGTTGGTAAATGATTTGAAAACTGAATGTAATACTTACGTAGAATTTTTTTTTTCCAGTTTGGAATTTTGCCTCTTTGATTTTACTGATAATTCATTGAACAAGGCTGTTGAGCTGGATTGTACATCCGATTTGACATGCCAGGAAAGAAAGGGGTTATATAGAAAGTAAAACATTTTATTTTAAGCCTCGGTGAATAAGTCAAGTGGACTTCAGAGGGTTTTGTTTTATTTTGTTTTTTACTCCCTTTAATGGGAAATCTATTGTTTTGTAGTTAATTCATCTGTTATTCTCAGTACTTTTAGCTGCCCACCCCAAAATAGAATAAACAACCACCTACAGAATTGTTTCTAAATGCTTTGACCAGCCTAGTCAAACATATGTAACAACTGTAGTAAACTTCTGAATTGAACTTGGAAGTATTTTAACTTTTGTGTTCACATATTTAGAACTCTTGGTCTCAGATAGGGCAGGCTGACCCTGTAGTAATTTATTTGTGTTAGTGTCAAAGATGAAACATCCTAACTGACTCTTAAAGTGCTATTAAATACTATAGAAGTAAAAAGACATTTTTAAACATTGTGTAGGGGGTTAATTTGAGTGAACCGTAGATCTGTTTACAGTGTATTTATCACCTTCCTATTCCTTCAAAATGAAAAAATATATATATATATAATTTGGAAATCAGAGACAGAAACAGCAGGTCATTTTTGAACTATGGTGAGAAAGATGGTTAAGAAAATTAATGCATAATTTCTAAAAGTTGTAGCTCTCATATTAAATAGGCAAGTTTATGTGCTGGTATTTAGAAAACGGCTAAATTATTAAAAACCATGTTGCATTCATCTGTTTTCAGTCATACCATGTTCAGAGTTCTATGTAACGTGGGATTTTTTTTTAAGGGGTGGTTTGTAATAATAATAATAACTGTCCCTTATGTTTGTGAATTACATATGTATAAACTAAAACTGTAAATTGTGAACACTGGAAAGCACCATTGTGACATAAAGTAAACATCCTAGTAATATATTAAAGTGAATGTAAATGAGGTTTAAAATTACATTACTGTGAAACTCATCTTCCAACTCCTTAAGTTAAGCTTCGGAGATTTGTGTTAGTAGGTATGTTAAGAGCTTTGAAAACACTGCACATATCTTTTCTTTATAAGCCAGAATTACTCTTTTGTTGTAACTTATTATTCAATTAGCAATTGCTTTTCATTTGATAGATTGATAACATGGTATAATATATTTCAGCTGTTTGAAACTACTCATTTCCACATACTGTGTTTAAAATCATCTACTAGATGAAACACAATAAAACTACCTGCGGTGAAATTTGAGGGAGTTTAGGTCCTTTAAAACAAAAGTATTAATGATCATTGATTACATCTATAGTAAAAGTGCTTAGTTTCGTTTACTAAGATAATTCAGCAGTTGGTGGAAATGATAAGTATTTAACACTCTGTGTATGCATTGGATTTAAGAGAATAAACCATTTACAAAAATCACTTGGTAAGGATTATAAATTTAATTATTGCACTTAAATGGAACATTGCTTTTTCTTCTGTTTGTTTTGTTTATTTGTTTTTTAAATGTGCCACAAATTAGGCTATACCTGTATGCTTCTGTGACTTTTAGTCCACTGCCGTCTAGAAGCTAGCGATCCACTTGAAACACACAGGAAGACTCCTGCTTTTGAAGAAAGCAGGGGTGTGTGTGCTTTCTCTTTCCCAAATGTTACTGAAGGTGACAATTTAGAGACATGACCACTTTTGAATTATTTTAAAAAACAGCATGTTTAATTAATTTTTGCTTTATTTGAATCTAATCCTTTTTTTAATAGGATGCATAGGGAAAAGTAAATATGTTATGTGTGTTTGCGTATGTAACATACAGTATGTATTTAGTGTTTATCTTATTGCAACAGATTTATGGTTTGTATCAAAATGATGTTATGTGTTGTATGAACCTGTTGGCTCCTTATTTTATTTTCTCTTTTTTTATTACTTGCAATTGATGAGGTTTAGGGAGTTCATTTTAGTTCAGCTATTTATTTGATTTTTCAGATGGAAGAATTTAAATATCAAATTTTTCTCTGTTCACCCCTGAAATTTTTTTTCCCGTTGGAGGCTAAAAAATAGATACGAAATATATTTCTGAAATGAAATATGTATGGTACCGTGTTCTCTATAGGTTAGTGCATACCTCGAACAAGAGTCACGCTAGTTCTTAGCCATGTGCCCCTTAGAGCAGGTAAGTGGAGACACTGCAGAAAACTCCTCCGATCTCCATTTCTTCGTGATCATTATGATCATCTTCCAGGCTGTCTCTAACATGAATAATTTCATTTTTGCCAATTTTTGACACTAGCATTCAAAATACTAATTGTTCTAATTGTTTGCTATGAATCTTGGAGGCAGACCGGATCTTTCAGTGGTAGAAGCTCGTCTCACATGCTCCATTTGCATGTCATCAAATGGCATGCCACATTTTACTGATTCTGGATTCCTAAAATTAGGTAGCTAGAGTACTGTTTTACATTCCATTTTCTTTTTAAATAACCAGGTTGGCTTTGCAGAAAGCTTTAATGATGGAGTGTTAGCATCTTCACTAGTGTAAAGGAAAACAAGGATTTTGCAGGAGCAGAAAGTAGTATTTAAGAGTTAATCAACACTTTCTAGTTTAGTTAGGTAATAGCCTCAATATTTACTATCTTGGCTTATATGTCCACTGGTTTTACTTTGACATAGTTGAGCAACACTGGACCTAAGTCTGATGTTTGCGTTGGCAGCACGTATTAAGCATATTTTAAAATTACCAGTTTATTTACAGAAAACAAAAGATGGAACAGTGTATTGCCTCTTGATTGGTTTTTATAAAATCTTAATTGTAATTTTTTCCTAATTTTTTTATATTATAATTTGATGGCCACTAATTCATCTTTAGGCTTTTTGATGTATGTTACATAGCTAGTCTGAGCTTCCAAGAAGATGCATAGTCATTTCAATTTCTGTTAGCTGAATGGACATTTTAAGAGTTTGTTTTCAAATATAATTGAGAATAAATCTTCTTTTAAAATTCATCTGATGATTAAATAACTTAGTTTACTTTTAAAGGGTGAGAACTTTTTATGACTCTTTGAATAGACAGTTTCTAAAAGTGTAACTCAGATATCAGCAGACTGTGTATAAAGTGGTTTTGTTTTCAGTTTTTCACCATAGCATATATTAGCATCAAAGTTGATTTTTATCTGATTTGAATGACATCTCTTAAATGTTGGGGGGTGGGCATCCAACCAGTTATCTGGCTTCTATTTTGTCCATTGCTTTAGAATTGTTCTGTTGTCAATGCCACCCCCCCAAAAAAGGTGTGACATATGCTCATGCATAAAATGTTAATATGAGTACAACCTTGTATTTGTATTTCTGTTTTCATCATTGCCAAGGTGCTATGGGAAATTAAAGTAACACAAAATTAGAAAAAATTAAAAGTATTGAAAAGCCAGACTGATTTCCTTGTCTTCTGGGGTGTCCGTCTAATGACTAATTGTTACTTTTTGATAATTTGGGGTTTGTTTGTTTTTAATGCTTTTATTGGGGGCTCTTACATGTGACAATCCATGTATTCATCCAGTGTGTCAAGCACATTTGCACATATGCCACTATCATTCTTTTTAAGTCTTTTTTTTTTTAATCGTTTTATTAGGGGCTCATACAACTCTTATCACAATACATACATAAATCAATTGTGTAAAACACATTTGTACATTTATTGCCCTCATCATTCTCAAAACATTTCCTCTCCACTTAAGCCCCCAGCATTAGGTCCTCATTTTCCCCTCCCTCCCCGCTCCCCCCTCCCTCATGAGCCCTTGTTAATTTATATATTATTATTTTGTCACCACTCATTTTCAAAGCATTTTGAGACCCCGATATCAGCTTCCCATTTCTTACCCTTCCCTCCCTCCCTCACAAACCCTTAATAAGTTATAGATTATTATTTCCATATCTTACATCTTCCTCCATTGCCACGCACCCACTTTTCTGTTCTCTGTCACCCTGGGAGGGAGATGCTAGGATGATCCTTGTGGTCTATTTCCCCTTTCTCCCCCCACCCGCCCCTAATCTTCCTGGTATCATTGTTTGCCCTGAGGGGTTTATGTGTCCTGGATTTCCTGTGTTGCAGGCTCTTATCTGTAGCAGAGTGCATGCTCTGGTTCTAAGGTGACCAGATTTTAACATTGGTAAAGCGGGACACCATTTATAAAACTCATATTCTGGCGAAATAGCCACATGGCAGCCAAAAACCGTATACCCTAGCTTGTCGTGCATTCCTTCCGAAAATCAGCACGTCTGGTCACCTTAGACCCGATTTGTAAGGCAGAATTGAGGTCATGATCGCTGGGGGGCAGAGAAAGCACCAAAGGCTGGAGGAAAGTTAGGTGTTTTCTTGGTGCTATACTGCACCCTGACTGGCTCTTCTCTGTGATTCCTCTAAGGGAATGTCCAGTTGTCTACAGATGGGCATTGGGTCCCTACCCCATCCCCTGTGCCCCCCCCCCCAATTCACCTTCGGTATGGTTTTGTTCTGGTTCTTAGACGCCTGATATATGATCCCTTTGACACCTGGCGATCACACAG